ACACTGCACATATTTTATATTATTTTTCTCTGTTACATATTTAATATTTCTACATCTATGTCAGCTGCCTGCCTGCAGCTAGTCCCTCCAATAAGGCTGCTCCTGATCCCGACACAGCTGCACCTGGTCAGAACGGAACCACTTTAACTGACCCGTCAGTTAACCGGGACCATTAGCCTGGTTCCGGTTCTGCATTAGCTACAGCTGCTAACTAGCTTAGCCCCGCTGTGCGCGCGACACCCAGCTGTTAGCATTAGCACCCAGCTAACTGCTGCTGTGCGGTTACCATGGAGACAATTAGCAGTTAGCACGGACCTGGTCCAGGGACAGGAACTGGTAGAAGGTCTGCGGGATCTCCTCAACCAGTCGAGCAGCTCCAGGTCCGCGTCCCAGCGGTCAGAGGGGGGACCGCAGAAACCAGCAGGTCAGGCAGCCAGCAGGACCGGCACGGACCCGCGCGGACCCTCATCGCCGAGGAACCTTTACAGTAAGTCTCAGAAAACGGAGCGTAAAGACCTGATCTGGTCTGGACTCTGCAGCCTGCCAGCCACTCAGCGGTAACAGACCCGGAAACACATCCGGTCCATCCGGGTTACACTGTCAAAATAACGTCCCCTCCGTGAGTATCCGGCGGTGACTGCAGCGACACCTGGAGGAGGATCAGAAGACTCCGGTCCACATAGCGGATTCCGTTTCTGTAGTGAACTGCTCTGGATCGCGGTCTAGGGTTTTATTTTGCAGTAATCAGGACAGAATGTAGTCCAGGATCAAGCTTCACGCATAAACTTCAGCAACAGCAAGAAACCCAGCTGAAGACAAAACATTTGAACCTCTGCTGGCAGGAGTCAGTAAAAGAGATTGAAATAGTGTTTTAATAGTAGAGTTTACATCTCGTTCGAATGATCAGGTTGTAGTATAAAAACACGGCACGAGTACTTTCTGTCCTCCACTGTCAGTCAGATTACTGTGGGAATCCTCCTGAATCAGGAGATCCATAGAGAACGTTGACGTTCCGTTTCTGTTCCGCAGAGTCCGTGTTAAGGACTCTTTGATACTACGGTGTACATCCTGCTGCATACGGTTCATCTTAAACACTTGCTTTCACATTTCTTGTCCAAAAAAGGACACTGAAAGGTTTGGGTACTGTCGGTGTGTACAATAAAGATCACAGAATAATATCTCTACAAGTACATATTACTTTGTATTTACTCCTAACTCATCACAGCTCGCAGTACTCTGCATCACAGCGCGCAGTACTCTGCATCATAGCGCAGTACTCTGCATCACAGCACGCAGTACCTCATCACAGCGCGCAGTACTCTGCATCACAGCACGCAGTACTCTGCATCACAGCGCGCAGTACTCTGCATCACAGCACGCAGTACTCTGCATCACAGCACGCAGTACTCTGCATCACAGCGCGCAGTACTCTGCATCATAGCGCAGTACTCTGCATCACACACGCAGTACTCTGCATCACAGCGCGCAGTACTCTGCATCACAGCACGCAGTACTCTGCATCACAGCGCGCAGTACTCTGCATCATAGCGCAGTACTCTGCATCACAGCGCGCAGTACTCTGCATCATAGCGCAGTACTCTGCATCACAGCGCGCAGTACTCTGCATCATAGCGCAGTACTCTGCATCACAGCGCGCAGTACTCTGCATCACACCGCGCAGTACTCTGCATCACAGCGCGCAGTACTCTGCATCACAGCGCAGTACTCTGCATCACAGCGCAGTACTCTGCATCACAGCGCAGTACTCTGCATCACAGCACGCAGTACTCTGCATCACAGCGCAGTACTCTGCATCATAGCGCAGTACTCTGCATCACAGCACGCAGTACTCTGCATCACAGCGCAGTACTCTGCATCACAGCACGCAGTACTCTGCATCACAGCGCAGTACTCTGCATCACAGCACGCAGTACTCTGCATCACAGCGCAGTACTCTGCATCACAGCGCAGTACTCTGCATCACACGCAGTACTCTGCATCACAGCGCGCAGTACTCTGCATCACAGCGCGCAGTACTCTGCATCACAGCGCAGTACTCTGCATCACAGCACGCAGTACTCTGCATCACAGCGCAGTACTCTGCATCACAGCACGCAGTACTCTGCATCACAGCACGCAGTACTCTGCATCACAGCGCAGTACTCTGCATCACAGCGCAGTACTCTGCATCACAGCACGCAGTACTCTGCATCACAGCGCAGTACTCTGCATCATAGCGCAGTACTCTGCATCACAGCACGCAGTACTCTGCATCACAGCGCGCAGTACTCTGCATCACAGCGCACAGTACTCTACATCACAGCGCAGATCATCTACATAGCGCATACTCTGCATCACAGCACGCAGTACTCTGCATCACAGCGCAGTACTCTGCATCACAGCGCGCAGTACTCTGCATCACAGCGCGCAGTACTCTGCATCACAGCGCAGTACTCTGCATCACAGCGCAGTACTCTGCATCACAGCGCAGTACTCTGCATCACAGCACGCAGTACTCTGCATCACAGCGCAGTACTCTGCATCACGCAGCGCAGTACTCGCATCACAGCGAGCTCTGCATCACGCGCAGTACCTGCATCACAGCACGCAGTACTCTGCATCACAGCACGCAGTACTCTGCATCACAGCGCAGTACTCTGCATCACAGCGCAGTACTCTGCATCACAGCACGCAGTACTCTGCATCACAGCGCAGTACTCTGCATCACAGCGCAGTACTCTGCATCACAGCACGCAGTACTCTGCATCACAGCGCAGTACTCTGCATCACAGCGCAGTACTCTGCATCACAGCGCAGTACTCTGCATCACAGCGCAGTACTCTGCATCACAGCGCAGTACTCTGCATCACAGCACGCAGTACTCTGCATCACAGCACGCAGTACTCTGCATAATAGCACGCAGTACTCTGCATCACAGCGCAGTACTCTGCATCACAGCGCAGTACTCTGCATCACAGCACGCAGTACTCTGCATCACAGCGCAGTACTCTGCATCACAGCACGCAGTACTCTGCATCACAGCACGCAGTACTCTGCATCACAGCGCAGTACTCTGCATCACAGCACGCAGTACTCTGCATCACAGCGCGCAGTACTCTGCATCACAGCGCAGTACTCTGCATCACAGCGCAGTACTCTGCATCACAGCGCAGTACTCTGCATCACAGCACAGTACTCTGCATCACAGCGCGCAGTACTCTGCATCATAGCGCAGTACTCTGCATCACAGCGCGCAGTACTCTGCATCATAGCGCAGTACTCTGCATCACAGCACGCAGTACTCTGCATCACAGCGCAGTACTCTGCATCATAGCGCGTACTCTGCATCACGCACGCAGTACTCTGCTCACACGCACGCACGCAGTACTCTGCATCACAGCGCAGTACTCTGCATCACAGCACGCAGTACTCTGCATCACAGCGCAGTACTCTGCATCACAGCGCAGTACTCTGCATCACAGCGCGCAGTACTCTGCATCACAGCGCGCAGTACTCTGCATCACAGCTCGCAGTACTCTGCATCACAGCGCCAGTACTCTGCATCACAGCTCGCAGTACTCTGCATCACAGCGCGCAGTACTCTGCATCATAGCGCAGTACTCTGCATCACAGCGCAGTACTCTGCATCACAGCGCAGTACTCTGCATCACAGCACAGTACTCTGCATCACAGCGCAGTACTCTGCATCACAGCACGCAGTACTCTGCATCACAGCGCAGTACTCTGCATCACAGCACGCAGTACTCTGCATCACAGCGCGCAGTACTCTGCATCACAGCGCAGTACTCTGCATCACAGCACGCAGTACTCTGCATCACAGCGCGCAGTACTCTGCATCACAGCGCAGTACTCTGCATCACAGCACGCAGTACTCTGCATCACAGCGCGCAGTACTCTGCATCACAGCGCAGTACTCTGCATCACAGCGCAGTACTCTGCATCACAGCACGCAGTACTCTGCATCACAGCGCAGTACTCTGCATCACAGCACGCATACTCTGCATCACAGCGCGCAGTACTCTGCATCACAGCGCAGTACTCTGCATCACGCGCAGTACTCTGCATCACAGCGTGCAGTACTCTGCATCACGCACGCCGTACTCTGCATCACAGCGCAGTACTCTGCATCACAGCGCGCAGTACTCTGCATCACAGCGCGCAGTACTCTGCATCACAGCGCAGTACTCTGCATCACAGCACGCAGTACTCTGCATCACAGCACGCAGTACTCTGCATCACAGCGCACTACTCTGCATCACAGCACAGTACTCTGCATCATAGCGCAGTACTCTGCATCACAGCACGCAGTACTCTGCATCACAGCGCAGTACTCTGCATCACAGCACGCAGTACTCTGCATCACAGCGCGCAGTACTCTGCATCACAGCGCAGTACTCTGCATCACAGCACGCAGTACTCTGCATCACAGCGCGCAGTACTCTGCATCACAGCGCAGTACTCTGCATCACAGCGTGCAGTACTCTGCATCACAGCGCGCAGTACTCTGCATCACAGCGCAGTACTCTGCATCACAGCGCGCAGTACTCTGCATCACAGCGCAGTACTCTGCATCATAGCGCAGTACTCTGCATCACAGCACGCAGTACTCTGCATCACAGCACGCAGTACTCTGCATCACAGCGCAGTACTCTGCATCACAGCACAGTACTCTGCATCATAGCGCAGTACTCTGCATCACAGCACGCAGTACTCTGCATCACAGCGCAGTACTCTGCATCATAGCGCAGTACTCTGCATCACAGCACGCAGTACTCTGCATCACAGCACGCAGTACTCTGCATCACAGCGCAGTACTCTGCATCACAGCACGCAGTACTCTGCATCACAGCACGCAGTACTCTGCATCACAGCGCAGTACTCTGCATCACAGCGCAGTACTCTGCATCACAGCACGCAGTACTCTGCATCACAGCGCAGTACTCTGCATCACAGCACGCAGTACTCTGCATCACAGCGCAGTACTCTGCATCACAGCTCGCAGTACTCTGCATCACAGCGCAGTACTCTGCATCACAGCACGCAGTACTCTGCATCACAGCGCAGTACTCTGCATCACAGCGCAGTACTCTGCATCACAGCACGCAGTACTCTGCATCACAGCGCGCAGTACTCTGCATCACAGCGCAGTACTCTGCATCACAGCTCGCAGTACTCTGCATCACAGCACGCAGTACTCTGCATCACACACCAGTACTCTGCATCACAGCGCAGTACTCTGCATCACAGCACGCAGTACTCTGCATCACAGCACGCAGTACTCTGCATCACAGCACGCAGTACTCTGCATCACAGCGCAGTACTCTGCATCACAGCGCAGTACTCTGCATCACAGCACGCAGTACTCTGCATCACAGCGCGCAGTACTCTGCATCACAGCTCGCAGTACTCTGTATCACAGCACGCAGTACTCTGCATCACAGCGCAGTACTCTGCATCACAGCGCAGTACTCTGCATCACAGCGCGCAGTACTCTGCATCACAGCACGCAGTACTCTGCATCACAGCGCAGTACTCTGCATCACAGCGCAGTACTCTGCATCACAGCTCGCAGTACTCTGCATCACAGCGCGCAGTACTCTGCATCACAGCGCGCAGTACTCTGCATCACAGCGCAGTACTCTGCATCACAGCTCGCAGTACTCTGCATCACGAGCACGCAGTACTTCAGGTGTTCAGAACCACGACGCTGGTTCACCATGGTACCTGATGCTGAGCGGTTGACCTGTTCCAGATCAGAGATCAACGCTACTGACCAATGAGCTCTCGGAAAATGACACCACCGTGCTGTAGGCGCCTTGATGCTCCACCACTAAACCTTGTCAAGATTTATCACTTAAACTGGCTCTGTTCCAGCTAGCTTTGGTTAGACCCCCTTGTAACTACTTTGGTGTCTTCGACCTGCTCCAGCCTGGCTCTGACCCCGCCCCCCCCCCCCCCCCCCCCCCCCCCCCCCAACCCCGTCGTCTGGGTTGCTACAGTCTGCGGACTACAAGGCGACCCCCCCTCCCTCATGCTCTCCGTACAGGTCTGCGAGCTTCCTGAACCTCGGCCCCCACTCTGTCGGGAAGTTGTAATTCTGCTCAAACTCTGATGAGTTTAACGAGCTCAGTGACTCCGCAGTGGACCCATTGCCCTCGAAGGCGTAGGTCTGCAGAGAGTCATAGGGGGGCGCCGTCAGGTCCACATCTGCCTCCTGCAGCCTGTTCCTGATGAACTCCTGGAACAGCATGTTCCTTTCCGCCCTGTACTCCGGGGTTTTGGCGAGGAGTCCCGGCAGGTTGTTGTCGGGGTCTCGGCGGGGTGGGTTTGGTTTGTTCAGGTGTCTCAGAGCGAACATGTCGAAGGCCTCGGTGTCCTCCTCGCCGCCGCCTTCATCATCGTAGTGAACAATGTTCTCACGAATGTCCCGCTCGTCGTCCATCATCAGAGGCTCCCTCCTACTGCGTCTGACAGCTGCTACAACCACGATGACACCTGAGGAGACAGGTGAGAACGGAGAAGGTGCTCTCTAGTCAGGTCTGTGTATCTGCAGGTACGCTGCTGTTTCTACTTACTGTTTCTGGTGTTAATTGTCAGGTCACAGTGAAACGGGGTCTGGTCTTACCCAGTAGTACGAGGATGCAGGTGAGGACCGTGGCAGCGGCGGCGGAGCTGAGGCCGACCAGCAGCAGCGCCGCTCGCCGGCTGCAGGAGCGGCGGTTTCCGTGGGCGTCGCAGTCGCAGACAGTGATGGACAGCGAGTTGGTGCTGCTGAGAGACGGACTGCTGCCGTCTGAAATCACCACCGGCAGGAAGTGAACCGGCTGATCCCGCCGCAGGAAACCACCCTTCCGAGTCAGGACAGACGCCGTGTTGTCTGAGGACAGACGGACAAGAGGAAGCTGGATGAAAGAACGCTGAGTCATTATCAGTTCTCTACAAAGTCACTAAGTGAAGTGTCCACCCCTAGCTGTCAATTACAAAGTGATGCTGCTATGGTTACACGAGGTTCACCTGCCTGTAGGTGGCGCTCTTTTTTCTGTCTGCTCACGATGGATGCTACAGCTCAGTTCGTCTCCCGCAAACAGAACCTCTGAGTGTGTGGTGTCGGTGTAGAGGACACAGAGAGACTTGTTATGAAGATATTAAGCTGCCTGCATTCTGCTCAGACTGCGGCAACTAACACCAACATTATAAATTTGGTTTCAGTCTTTAGAATGTCTAGAAAACCGACTGTCAGTCCACACTGACCAGACAGCAACTGACCAGACAGCAACTGACCAGACAGGAACTGACCAGACAGCAACTGACCAGACAGCAACTGACCAGTCGGTTCTGACCAGATAGGAACTGACCAGACAGCAGCTGACCAGACAGCAACTGACCAGTCGGTTCTGACCAGATAGGAACTGACCAGACAGCAGCTGACCAGACAGCAGCTGACCAGACAGCAACTGACCAGTCGGTTCTGACCAGATAGGAACTGACCAGACAGCAGCTGACCAGACAGCAACTGACCAGTCGGTTCTGACCAGATAGGAACTGACCAGACAGCAGCTGACCAGACAGCAGCTGACCAGACAGCAACTGACCAGTCGGTTCTGACCAGATAGGAACTGACCAGACAGCAGCTGACCAGTCGGTTCTGACCAGTCAGTTCTGACCAGACAGCAACTGACCAGACAGCAACTGACCAGTCAGGAACTGACCAGTCAGCAACTGACCAGTCAGGAACTGACCAGACAGCAACTGACCAGACAGGAACTGACCAGACAGCAACTGACCAGACAGCAACTGACCAGTCGGTTCTGACCAGATAGGAACTGACCAGACAGCAGCTGACCAGACAGCAACTGACCAGTCGGTTCTGACCAGATAGGAACTGACCAGACAGCAGCTGACCAGACAGCAACTGACCAGTCGGTTCTGACCAGATAGGAACTGACCAGACAGCAGCTGACCAGACAGCAGCTGACCAGACAGCAACTGACCAGTCGGTTCTGACCAGATAGGAACTGACCAGTCAGTTCTGACCAGACAGCAACTGACCATACAGCAACTGACCAGTCGGTTCTGACCAGACAGGAACTGACCATACAGCAGCTGACCAGACAGTAACTGACCAGTCGGTTCTGACCAGACAGCAACTGACCAGACAGCAGCTGACCAGACAGCAACTGACCAGTCGGTTCTGACCAGATAGGAACTGACCAGACAGCAGCTGACCAGTCGGTTCTGACCAGACAGCAACTGACCAGACAGGAACTGACCAGTCGGTTCTGACCAGTCAGTTCTGACCAGACAGCAACTGACCAGACAGGAACTGACCAGTCGGTTCTGACCAGTCAGTTCTGACCAGACAGCAACTGACCAGACAGCAACTGACCAGTCAGGAACTGACCGGTCAGTTCTGACCAGACAGCAACTGACCAGACAGGAACTGACCAGACAGCAACTGACCAGACAGCAGCTGACCAGACAGCAACTGACCAGACAGGAACTGACCAGTCGGTTCTGACCAGACAGGAACTGACCAGACAGCAGCTGACCAGACAGCAACTGACCAGTCGGTTCTGACCAGACAGCAACTGACCAGACAGCAACTGACCAGTCAGTTCTGACCAGACAGCAGCTGACCAGACAGCAACTGACCAGACAGCAACTGACCAGTCGGTTCTGACCAGACAGGAACTGACCAGACAGCAGCTGACCAGTCGGTTCTGACCAGACAGCAACTGACCAGTCAGCAACTGACCAGTCAGGAACTGACCAGTCAGTTCTGACCAGACAGCAACTGACCATACAGCAACTGACCAGTCGGTTCTGACCAGACAGGAACTGACCATACAGCAGCTGACCAGACAGCAACTGACCAGACAGTAACTGACCAGTCGGTTCTGACCAGACAGCAACTGACCAGACAGCAGCTGACCAGACAGCAACTGACCAGTCGGTTCTGACCAGACAGCAACTGACCAGACAGCAGCTGACCAGTCAGTTCTGACCAGACAGCAGCTGACCAGACAGCAACTGACCAGACAGCAACTGACCAGTCGGTTCTGACCAGACAGGAACTGACCAGACAGCAGCTGACCAGTCGGTTCTGACCAGACAGCAACTGACCAGACAGGAACTGACCAGTCAGTTCTGACCAGATAGGAACTGACCAGACAGCAGCTGACCAGACAGCAGCTGACCAGACAGCAACTGACCAGTCGGTTCTGACCAGATAGGAACTGACCAGACAGCAGCTGACCAGTCGGTTCTGACCAGTCGGTTCTGACCAGACAGCAACTGACCAGACAGGAACTGACCAGTCGGTTCTGACCAGTCAGTTCTGACCAGACAGCAACTGACCAGACAGCAACTGACCAGTCAGGAACTGACCGGTCAGTTCTGACCAGACAGCAACTGACCAGACAGGAACTGACCAGACAGCAACTGACCAGACAGCAGCTGACCAGACAGCAACTGACCAGACAGGAACTGACCAGTCGGTTCTGACCAGACAGGAACTGACCAGACAGCAGCTGACCAGACAGCAACTGACCAGTCGGTTCTGACCAGACAGCAACTGACCAGACAGCAACTGACCAGTCAGTTCTGACCAGACAGCAGCTGACCAGACAGCAACTGACCAGACAGCAACTGACCAGTCGGTTCTGACCAGACAGGAACTGACCAGACAGCAGCTGACCAGTCGTTCTGACCAGACAGCAACTGACCAGACAGCAACTGACCAGTCAGCAACTGACCAGTCAGTTCTGACCAGACAGCAACTGACCAGACAGTAACTGACTAGTCGGTTCTGACCAGACAGGAACTGACCATACAGCAGCTGACCAGACAGCAACTGACCAGACAGTAACTGACTAGTCGTTCTGACCAGACAGCAACTGACCAGACAGCAGCTGACCAGACAGCAACTGACCAGTCGGTTCTGACCAGACAGCAACTGACCAGACAGCAGCTGACCAGTCATTCTGACCAGACAGCAGCTGACCAGACAGCAACTGACCAGACAGCAACTGACCAGTCGGTTCTGACCAGACAGGAACTGACCAGACAGCAGCTGACCAGTCGGTTCTGACCAGACAGCAACTGACCAGACAGGAACTGACCAGTCGGTTCTGACCAGATAGGAACTGACCAGACAGCAACTGACCAGTCGGTTCTGACCAGATAGGAACTGACCAGACAGCAGCTGACCAGTCGGTTCTGACCAGTCAGTTCTGACCAGACAGCAACTGACCAGACAGCAACTGACCAGACAGCAACTGACCAGTCAGGAACTGACCAGTCAGTTCTGACCAGACAGCAGCTGACCAGACAGCAACTGACCAGACAGCAACTGACCAGTCGGTTCTGACCAGACAGGAACTGACCAGACAGCAGCTGACCAGTCGGTTCTGACCAGACAGCAACTGACCAGACAGCAACTGACCAGACAGCAACTGACCAGTCGGTTCTGACCAGACAGGAACTGACCATACAGCAGCTGACCAGACAGCAACTGACCAGACAGTAACTGACCAGTCGGTTCTGACCAGACAGCAACTGACCAGACAGCAGCTGACCAGACAGCAACTGACCAGTCGGTTCTGACCAGATAGGAACTGACCAGACAGCAGCTGACCAGTCGGTTCTGACCAGAAAGCAACTGACCAGACAGCAACTGACCAGTCGGTTCTGACCAGTCAGTTCTGACCAGACAGCAACTGACCAGACAGCAACTGACCAGTCGGTTCTGACCAGTCAGTTCTGACCAGACAGCAACTGACCAGACAGCAACTGACCAGACAGCAACTGACCAGTCAGGAACTGACCAGACAGGAACTGACCAGACAGCAACTGACCATACAGCAACTGACCAGACAGGAACTGACCAGACAGCAACTGACCAGTCGGTTCTGACCAGACAGCAACTGACCAGTCGGTTCTGACCAGACAGGAACTGACCAGACAGCAGCTGACCAGTCGGTTCTGACCAGACAGCAACTGACCAGACAGGAACTGACCAGACAGGAACTGACCAGTCGGTTCTGACCAGACAGGAACTGACCAGACAGCAGCTGACCAGACAGGAACTGACCAGACAGCAGCTGACCAGACAGCAACTGACCAGTCGGTTCTGACCAGACAGGAACTGACCAGACAGCAGCTGACCAGTTGGTTCTGACCAGACAGCAACAGACCAGACAGCAACTGACCAGACAGGAACTGACCAGTCGGTTCTGACCAGACAGCAACTGACCAGACAGCAGCTGACCAGACAGCAACTGACCAGTCGGTTCTGACCAGACAGGAACTGACCAGACAGGAACTGACCAGTCGGTTCTGACCAGTCAGTTCTGACCAGACAGCAACTGACCAGACAGGAACTGACCAGACAGGAACTGACCAGTCGGTTCTGACCAGACAGCAACTGACCAGACAGCAACTGACCAGTCAGTTCTGACCAGACAGACCTTTGTTGCCTATCCTTCTTATTTAAGTCACAGGATCGAGGCTGCAATCACTTTTTGGCAGGTGGAAATCTGCCTGTTATTAGGTGTACTGGCCCTTTAAAGGTATTTCAACAGGTTGAAAGGAGTGGGTGAGCTATAATCAGCCATAACTCAAATACTATAACACTAAAATAACTGAAATCAATTCATTTTGAGAACCTTTTTTTCACAAGTAGTGAGGTGGCATCAGTTGCCAAACAGCACTGGCTCTATTTCCATTTATTCATTTAGCTGACGCTTTTATCTAAAGCCAATTACAATTGCTGTATATGTCAGAGGTTGCACGCCTCTGGAGCAACGAGGGGTTAAGTGACTTGCTCAGGGACACACAGTGGGAATTGAACCCGGGTCTCTCACACCAAAGTCATGTGTCTTATCCACTGCCATTTAAATGTCTTGCAATTGGTAATAAGGACTGATTGAGCTATACTCTGTCTTTTTGGCAAGTGCAAAATGCAATACTACAAACTACATTTCAACTGGTAAAAAGGTGGACTGGTCAGCACACAGCAAGCAAAAATAATGTCATAAGGACGACGGAAAGAGAGACACTTCCTTATTTTCTTTATACCTAACCCAGCCGTCGGTAATCAAAGACTGCAGTCTGTTTTCCAGATATTAACAAGGATATTAAACATAGGCCACCAAAAACAAATTTCATCTGCAACAACAGGCTGCTTATAATAATGTTGAGTATTCCGTTACAAGAAACATTAACGTTTCACAAAGACATACCTTTGTTGCCACGGCCATAAAGTGATGCGTATTTTCACGTTATGACTGTTTGCTCCAGATAAAAGCAGCTGTAGATGTACAGATACTGGCCGTTACAGCTTTAACATCACTTTTCACTTCCTCCAGCACATGTTCTGATTCGGATTGCGTCCGTACGTCTGTGGATCAATGGAGCTGTGTGAGGGAAACGTCTGGCGTACCTTTATTATCTCTCAGGATGAAGCTGAAGTTCCCAGAAGCCTCGGCGGGCAGAGAGAACAGGAAGTGATGTCCGTTCTCTGGTTCATCACGATCCACAGCGCTCAGGGTCTCAATAATCTGAGAGGTCAAAGGTCAAACACAAGAAAGAGGAGGTCAGCTGACAGGAAATGAATGAGTGAATATGTTCTGGAGGAAGAAAATCATATCACTGTGAATATTTGGGCTGATCGTGAATCTGCCGTGTGCTGAAACACCGCTGTGAAGCCGAGGGGGAACTCTGAAGGACAGGCTGCTGGTGCAAGGAGGAAACTCTGAGACGAGAGAGTCTTTCTCCTGCTTTCCTCGATACGAACATGCACTAACAAGCCATCTGCAGCTAGCCTGACCTGTGAGCGACAGGTGGCGTAGCATCGTTTGTACTTAAAACACTGGGTCTGGGTCTGTGGGGTCTGGATCAGTGAGGTCTGGGTCTGTGGGGTCTGGATCAGTGAGGTCTGGGGTGTGAGGTCTGGGGCTGTGAGGTCTGGGTCTGTGGGGTCTATGGCTGTGAGGTCTGGGGCTGTGAGGTCTAGGGCTGTGAGGTCTGGGTCTGTGGGGCCTGGGTCTGTGGGGCCTGGATCAGTGAGGTCTGGGTCTGTGAGGTCTGGATCAGTGAGGTCTGGATCAGTGAGGTCTGGGGCTGTGAGGTCTGGGTCTGTGAGGTCTGGGGCTGTGGGGTCTGGGTCTGTGGGGTCTGGATCAGTGAGGTCTGGGTCTGTGAGGTCTGGGTCTGTGAGGTCTATGGCTGTGGGGTCTGGGTCTGTGAGGTCTGGATCAGTGAGGTCTGGATCAGTGAGGTCTGGTTCTGTGAGGTCTGGGTCTGTGGGGTCTATGGCTGTGAGGTCTGGGTCTGTGAGGTCTGGATCAGTGAGGTCTGGTTCTGTGAGGTCTGGGTCTGTGGGGTCTATGGCTGTGGGGTCTGGGTCTGTGGGGTCTGGATCAGTGAGGTCTGGGTCTGTGAGGTCTGGGTCTGTGAGGTCTATGGCTGTGGGGTCTGGGTCTGTGAGGTCTGGATCAGTGAGGTCTGGATCAGTGAGGTCTGGTTCTGTGAGGTCTGGGTCTGTGGGGTCTGGATCAGTGAGGTCTGGATCAGTGAGGTCTGGATCAGTGAGGTCTGGATCAGTGAGGTCTGGTTCTGTGAGGTCTGGGTCTGTGGGGTCTATGGCTGTGAGGTCTGGGTCTGTGAGGTCTGGATCAGTGAGGTCTGGTTCTGTGAGGTCTGGGTCTGTGAGGTCTGGATCAGTGAGGTCTGGTTCTGTGAGGTCTGGGTCTGTGGGGTCTGGATCAGTGAGGTCTGGTTCTGTGTGGTCTAGGTCTGTGGGGTCTGGATCAGTGAGGTCTGGTTCTGTGAGGTCTGGGTCTGTGAGGTCTGGATCAGTGAGGTCTGGATCAGTGAGGTCTGGATCTGTGAGGTCTGGGGCTGTGAGGTCTGGGTCTGTGAGGTCTGGTTCTGTGAGGTCTGGGTCTGTGAGGTCTGGATCTGTGAGGTCTGGGGCTGTGAGGTCTGGGTCTGTGAGGTCTGGTTCTGTGAGGTCTGGATCTGTGAGGTCTGGGTCTGTGGGGTCTGGATCAGTGAGGTCTGGGTCTGTGAGGTCTGGATCAGTGAGGTCTGGTTCTGTGAGGTCTGGATCAGTGAGGTCTGGATCAGTGAGGTCTGGTTCTGTGAGGTCTGGTTCTGTGAGGTCTGGGTCTGTGAGGTCTGGATCAGTGAGGTCTGGTTCTGTGAGGTCTGGTTCTGTGAGGTCTGGATCAGTGAGGTCTGGTTCTGTGAGGTCTGGGTCTGTGGGGTCTGGATCAGTGAGGTCTGGTTCTGTGTGGTCTAGGTCTGTGGGGTCTGGATCAGTGAGGTCTGGTTCTGTGAGGTCTGGGGCTGTGAGGTCTGGTTCTGTGAGGTCTGGGTCTGTGAGGTCTGGATCAGTGAGGTCTGGATCAGTGAGGTCTGGATCTGTGAGGTCTGGGGCTGTGAGGTCTGGGTCTGTGAGGTCTGATTCTGTGAGGTCTGGGTCTGTGAGGTCTGGATTAGTGAGGTCTGGGTCTGTGAGGTCTGATTCTGTGAGGTCTGGGTCTGTGAGGTCTGGGTCTGTGAGGTCTGGATCAGTGAGGTCTGGATCAGTGAGGTCTGGATCTGTGAGGTCTGGGGCTGTGAGGTCTGGGTCTGTGAGGTCTGGTTCTGTGAGGTCTGGGTCTGTGAGGTCTGGATCAGTGAGGTCTGGGTCTGTGAGGTCTGGTTCTGTGAGGTCTGGGTCTGTGAGGTCTGGGTCTGTGAGGTCTGGATCAGTGAGGTCTGGGTCTGTGAGGTCTGGTTCTGTGAGGTCTGGGTCTGTGAGGTCTGGGTCTGTGGGGTCTGGATCAGTGAGGTCTGGGTCTGTGAGGTCTGGTACTGTGAGGTCTGGGTCTGTGAGGTCTGGGTCTGTGGGGTCTGGATCAGTGAGGTCTGGTCTGGATCTATCAGTCCTGTTATTCTGCAGCTCTGTGTGAAAGTGAGAGAACTTCTGCTGCGGTACTTGTCAGAGTACAGGTGTGTAACACTGTGTACCAAACAGTACCCAGGTGGGTTTACCTGTCCGGGTTCTGCGTTCTCACAGACAAAGGCTTCGTACTTCATGGCGAAGCTCGGAGCGTTATCGTTAACGTCCGTCACAGAGATCAGAAGCACAGCTTTCCCCACCTGAGACCGATCCACTGACACACACACAGAGACACGCCTCAGCACGCCGCTCAGCTGTTGACATCACAACCAGGAATTTAAAGGAACAGTACAACATGTAGAGTATGTCAGACTCACGGCTGTCTGTGGCGAGGACGCTGATGTTGTGCAGAGCGATGGTCTCTCTGTCCAGACGTCTGGCGGTCCGGATCAGACCTGAGCTGCTGTCGATGTTAAAGAACCGCTCCACGTCCGACTTCCTGTCAATAGAGTACCTGCACACAGATTCACCTGCTGTTAAACACCAGCTCCGCCGCTGACTCTGTCTCCAGGCGCTCATGTTCCTACCTGACGGGGTTGTCGGTTGCGTCAGGGTCGTGAGCTGAAACTGATCCCACATCAGTTCCTACCGCAGCGTCCTCAGAGACCACCATCCGACTAACGGGGGAGGAGAAGACCGGAGGCTCATCCACGTTCTCCACCAGTAGACGAACCGTCGCCACGTCGCTGAACCGACCCGTTGACAGGAAGTGAGTGTCCACGTAACGATTGGACGCCTCAACGTGCAACACGTAGCTCGACTTGGTCTCAAAGTCCAGAGTCTGGGGGGGACACAGGGGGGAGGGGGGACACTGGTGTGACGACCTCTGGGGAAATAAAGCTTGAACATGTTTTCTCGTCACCTGGAGATAAAAAGTCATGATTTAAAGGGACAGAACTGGTCCTGTCTCAACTATCTCTGTCACCCAGATCAGAGTTCTCCAAGGAGGGTTAAATCAAGGGCTCGGATACTGGATACTGCCTGGTTCTTTACTGGACTCCCTGCTGGTCAGTTAGAACCGTTACCCTTGGATGACCTATACTAGAGTGACCATATTTTTCTTTCCAACAAAGACGGATCAGTGAGCTAAACTTCAAATGTGCCTTCAGGATGTTAAAACCTGGATGAGCTGTAATTTTCTCATGTTAAACTCAGATAAAACTGAAGTTATTGCTCTGGGGCCTAAGCACCTCCGTGACGCATTATCTAAAGATATAGTTTCCCTGGATGGCATCACCTTGGCCTCCAGCACCACTGTGAGGAATCTTGGAGTTATCTTTGATCAGGACATGTCGTTTAAGTCTCACATTAAGCAAAATTCAAGACCACCTTTTTTCACCTACGTAATATTGCGAAAATCAGGAACATCCTGTCTAAAAATGCTGCAGAAAAACTAGTCCATGCATTTGTTACTTCTAGGCTGGATTACTGCAATCTACCTCTCTCTCTCTCTGTCTCTCTCTC